AACCCTTGGGTTGACAGCCACACCCTATCTCCCACCCTTATGGTTTCACCTTCCCTTCGGTTCTTGTCTGCCTGCCTCTTGTATTCTTCCTTCGCCCTTTCTAAGTTGAGTTGGAGCTGACGATGGATTGCTTCCATTTCTTCCACAAAATGCTCGGCTGCCGGGACGCTCCATCTCTCCCCATCTCCCCTGGGAAAGCCCTGGGATGACACCCATAATTAGCCAAGAAGGGGCTCATCCCTGTGGACACATTCTCGGCATTGTTGTAGGCAAATTCCGCCAGCGCCAACTTTTCTACCCAGTCATTCTCTCTGTCATTGACATAACACCTCAGGTATTGCTGGAGGACACCGTTTGCTCTTTCCGCCTGCCCGTTGGTTTCAGGGTGCCGGGCAGTCGAACCATTGACCTCCACCTGCAGTAAGCTCATGAGCTTCCTCCAGAACCTGGAAGTAAATTGTTTTCCTCGGTCTGAGACCACCCTCAATGGCACCCCGTGCAACCTAAAAATGTGTTCTACAAATAACTTCGCTGTCTCTTCCGCCGTGACTGCATGCGAGCAAGCTACAAAGTGGCACATCTTTGTTAGTAGGTCTACCACCACCATGATGGCTGTTTTCCTTTGGACTTCGGCAGATCAGTCATAAAATCTATCGACACTGCCTCCCAAGGTCGTTCTGGGGTTGGTAAGGGTTCTAACAGCCCCGCCGGCGCCCGCCTTTCCCCTTTGGCTCGCTGGCATTGCTCGCACCCTCTTACATACTCACGTACATCTTCCCTCACCTTAGGCCACCAAAATTCCCTGGTGACCAACCACATGGTTTTGTGTTGTCCAAAATGCCCCGCCGTAGGGCTGTCGTGCAACTGCTTGAGTACCCTCCCCTTAAGTCTCCTTCAGGGATATACAGTGCCCCTTTGTAATACAAAGCTCCATTTCTTTCCTCGAAACCCCTGGTTCCTCTCCCTCACCCCTAAGACCTCTGAGCTTATTCTGGGCGTATTCATCATTCTCTGTTTCCTCTACCAGTTCTCTTTGTCCCACCAATGCCGCCCCACACACCCAGCGGTCCTCTGGAATGACATGTCTCTCTTCGGGTGCTCCCTCCCCTCCAAATATTCAGGTTTGCGTGAGAGAGCGTCCGCCCTAATGTTCTCTGGGCCTGGCACGTAACCAATCTCAAAGTTAAATTTGGAGAACTCCTGGGCCCATCTCACTTGCCGTTGGTTGAGCACTCGTGCCGTCCTCCAATACTCTAGGTTCTTGTGGTCAGTGCACACTTGCACCTTATGTTGTGCGCCAATTAGCAGGTGCCTCCATCTCCGGAACGCCTCATGAATGGCTAGTAGTTCTCGGTCATACACCGTGTAGTTCCTCTCGGATTTGTTCAGCTTTCGCGAAAAAAAGCACACGGTCTCCACTCTGACTCCTCCTTCCCTGGCTGCAGAAGCACCGCCCCAATCGCTCTGTCTGATGCGTCAGTTTCCACTCTCATCGGTTTTTGTAAATCCACATGCAGGAGTTGTTGTTCCGAGGCGAAGGCCCTTTTAGTTCCTCAAATGCTCGCTCCGCCTCCTCAGTCCAAACGAACTTCTTCTTACTGCTGAGACAGTCCGTAATGGGCGCCGTCAGGTGGGCAAAGTTTCGGATGAACTTACGATAGAAGTTCCCAAATCCTAGGAACCTCTGCACATCCTTCCTTGTTTTGGGTGTTTTCCATTCCAGCACCGCCTGGACCTTGCCGGGATCCATGGCCAATCCCTTGTCTGACAGGCGATACCCCAGGAATTCCACCTCCTTGGTATGAAACTGACACTTCTCCAGTTTCACCCACAGCTGGATGGCTTGCAGCCTGCTCAACACTTCTCTGACGTCTCTCACATGCTGCTCCTCATTCTCAGAATACACCAACACGTCGTCTAAGAAGGCCACACAATTCTTGTAAAGCAAAGGCCCCAGGACGTGGTTCATAAACGATTGAAAGCATGCGGAGCCTGCTTGTAGGCCGAAGGGCATAACCAAATATTCAAATGCCCCTAAAGGGGTGAACATGGTGGTTTTCCATTCATCCCCCTTCCTTATTCGTATCAGGTTGTACGCCCCCCTTAGGTCCAGCTTTGTGAAAATCTTTCCCTTCCGCACCCTTGTCAAAATGTCGTCAATCCTGGGCATAGGGAAGGCCACTGGTTCTGACACTGCATTTAAGGCCCTGAAGTCACACACCAGCCTCGGCTTGTTCGTGTTTTTTTATCCACAAAAACACTGGGCTGCCCCCACCGCCCTGGACTCTCTGATGAACCCTCTCTTCAGGTTCTTGTCAATGAACTCTCTTAGCTCCTGCATCTCTCTGTCTGACATGGCGTACAGCTTGCCTACAGGGAGCTGTGCCCCAGGGAGTAAATTGATTTGACAGTCAAAGGGTCTATGCGGGGTAGTTGGTCAGCTTCCCTTTCGCTGAAGACGTCGCGGAGATCTGCGTATTGTCGTGGTACCTTCACGTTCTCCGTTACTTCAGTCCCTGCTAGGGTGGCTTGGGCCCCTGCCAAACCCTTTCCCTCTTTGCAGTGTTCTAAGCAATGTGCTGAACCAAAAGAAACCACTCTCTGATGCCAGCCCACCAGCGGATCATGTAACGCTAGCCAGCTCATCCCCAATATAATGGGAGCTCCTCCCAAGGTGGCCACATTAAACGCTATCAGTTCGGTGTGCCTTGCCACCTTCATTATCATTGGGACGGTCTGCAAGCTGACTTCTCCTCCCAACAGCTCCCTGCCATCGATCGTGGTCACCTGCAGGGGGTTGCTTAAAGGGATCGTCTGTATCTGGTGTTCAGCTGCAAACTCTTTGCTCATGAAATTGCAGGAGCTGCCTGAGTCCAACAGCGCCTTTATCTTTAGAGGGTGTCCGTTTGGCAGCTCTAGCGCCACTTCTATCACTAGGGCGGGTTTAGGAGGTTCTGGCGTGGGCACTCTCACTGCTCTTTGGCCTGGCTGCTGTGCCCCGACGGTGGCAGCCAGGCGTTGGCTTTACTTGCTCCGGTATTTCTTCCTCTCTTCCCTCCACAGCTCCTACCATCCCTTGCCATTCCTTCCTCTGGGGGCAGACTCTGGCAAAGTGACCTGGCTGTTGGCAGAGATAGCATTTCCGGGCGCGTTTTCCCTCCTTCTTTCCCCCTCACTGGGCTTTGAAACTGCGCGCGCGCGCTGTTCCGATTTCCATCGGCTCTGCCGGCGGGAAAGTTGGCTCTGGAATGTCTGGAATGCGGAACTCCTTCCAACGTTCCCCCTTCCCTTCCCGCCTCTCCAATGCTCTCGCCTCCTGGCGCGCTCCTATGGTCAGCGCTGATTTGGTCAGCTGGTCCATAGACTCCGCCCTGGGCGCCCGGGAAAGTTCGTCTTTCACAGCCGAAGAAAGCCCTTCTTCAAAGAGCATTTGAATGGGTTCCGCCGATAAGTCCCACCCCAATCTGTGAACCAGCATGGTGAACTCAGTCCAGTACTCACGGACAGATCGGCTCCCCTGTTTGCAAGCCATTAACTGTCTGCGCACCACTCCCTGTTCAATATCGCTGGAAAACATCAGATCCATGGCGCGAAAGAACTTCATCGTGTCCTTTAGGACGTCACTATTCGCTGCCATCAGGGGTCTAACCCAGTCTCTCGCCCCTTTTCAAGATGCCCAATCACGAAAGCCACTCGTGATTCCTCGTCAGGGAATTCATCAAACTGCAGATTGAGGGCATATTGCATCTCTGTCCGAAAGCCATGATAGTCTTTGGGCTCCCCCCCAAACTTCTGCACCAATCCTGGTACCTTTCTGGCGAGCTGGGTGGCTTCCCCTTTTTGTCTGCATCCTGAGCCCTCCTCTCCTCAAGCCTCGCCGTCTGCAGCGCTAGCTGGACCTCCAACACCCGGTACCTTTCTTCCAGGCTTGGACCCGCTCCAGCTCCTGCTTCTCCGGTTCCGGCTGGGTTGCTCATGATGCCTTCTCCTGCACAAGCTGCTTTCAATGACTGTCGGAATGCTGTGATGGGATGATGAGCTGCTTGTGCGTAAAATAGTATCCCCTCAGAGTTTGTTCAAGTCCACAAACCTCTGTCTGTGACGGAGCCCTTCAGACATGGCTCCTCTAGTCACTAGCAGATTCCGACAGTGGTTGCTTTCGGAATCGCTTCCAACATAAAAGCTCCTTAACGGAAACACGTCTTCTGGACTCTCTGCGTGACAGTTTCCGGCGAGGAGTGGGTGTTCCTACAGGAGGTCCTGAAACCTCCCCACTGTTTTCGCTGGAAGTGTCTCTGAGCCATCCCTCCAGCTCACTTTCCCTCAGCTCAGCTCCTCTCCCCCTACTGGTTCCCTCTTCAGCTGCTGAGTCTCTCCCAACCTGTGTGAGCCCTTTCACCTCCCTTCCTTCCGATGGCAGTTCCCTGACAGGGAGCTCTAGAATCTGACAGCTAACCAGAGGCAGCTACAGGAGAGCTATGAGATTTAGGTGAGGGTCAGATGCCTTGTCAATCCCAGCAGGTATATAAGAGGATGACCCAGCCTGTCTCACTCAATTTTGTTTATAACACTCTTCCATTTTCTTCTAGTTGTGAGGGTGGGGGGAGGGGCCAGAAGTGGAGTAGGTATAAATATATTTGGACACAACAAGTATACCTGGTGTTATGTTCCTTTTCATAAGTTGTGACCTTAAAAGTTGACAAACAACTCCCACTCCCAACGTGATTGGCTGTCTAAACTTCCAAGCTGCGAATCATGACTCAGAATTTAAGGGCCAATGGCAGAGGCCCAAATCCTGAAATGTTCTGTGATTGGATATCATGTATCCAATCAGAACACAGGGGCTCAGAATCCTTAGTCCAGACTCAAGCTCAGGCAAACACAGCTCACTGAATACATAACACTTATGGACCTCTGTCTCCCAGTTTTCTCCCTCTTTCCCCTCTGACCACTCATTGTTGTCCCACCACTACTCCCCAGGCTCTGCAACGTCTTCCCTTGGTGGTTCCCCAGCTGGTTCCTCCCATCATTTCTCTGTGTCCAACCAGCCCACGACATCTGGCATCTCGCACTGCTGTGGAGGTTTGATGTATATGCAGCCTGACACAGAGCCTTGCCCAATGGCAGCTAGAAGGTCCACAGCCTATTGTTTGAAGACTGAGGAGTCTGTGGTCCTCCAACGCCCAATGGGCCCAGCTAGCACAGGGCTCAGGGTGATGGAAACTGTAACCCAACACCTGCAGGGCCACAGGTTCATATCTCCATTCCAAAGGAGCCCTGCTTTATAAATGCAAAGCCCTGGAAGTGTTGTTCAAGATTCAAGTTGCTGTTCTGCCTTGGTACAATTTCTTCTGCAGGTGTCGGAGCTATTTAAAGACAGTCAGTGGAGCGTGAGAGTCAACTATTTTTTCCCGTGAAACACAGCTGAACAGTTTGCATCTGAAACAGAACATAAATCTGAAGTTTATCAAACTCCCTGGCATTTGCCGTTTTTGTGCAGCTACCGTTTCCTTTTCTTTACCTTCCTTCCCACCTGCAAGAGGCAAACACGCCTAATCCATACCTGACTGGCTTCTCACAAAGCAAACATTGTGGTGCTTTGTTTAAGGGAAGTTATGATCCAGCACAAGGAAAAGATGGGAGGGGGTGTCAAGGATACAAATCCGGAATCATGGTTCCCCTGGACTTCTCTGCCCTACTGTAGTGATGTAATAATACACACACCCAGGCCTCAACAGGGAGGAAAATGTCAAGCTGCCGTAAACCTTAATGTGGCAAATATTGTAAGCTAACGCTTTGCAGCACACAATTTAAAGCCTCTAAAGCCTATTGGGAACTGTAGTTGGTTAAAGGTGCTAGGAATTGTCCTGCTGCGGGGGGCAAACTACAATTCCCAGGATAATTTGGGGGACGCTCTCCTTTTTCTACCACTCTTTCCACTTTGTAACAATTTGTTCCTCTCTCTTCAGCAGCTTCAACACCATATTCTCCCCCCCTGCTCCAAGTAATTCCAGCCACTCAGGTATCAAATAATGAACGCAATGGTACCGCTAGGTCAGGTCTTCTGTCCTCATTCTGAAACCTGGCCATGTGGCCAGTCAGGTTTTGCTGCCTGATGACATCACAAAGGCATTTCAGAGTGATGGTCATGTTGCCTGCTCTCAATCTGAATTTATGAACGATGCTTTCAACCTTGCTTACCACCCCACCCTATGAGAAGCTACCAAATGGAGGATGTTATGTACTGAGTTGAATAGGATTCAGAATGCAGCAGTCTGATTGGTCCACAGGAGCCACCCAATCCAGCTCCATGTGGAAGTGAATCCGCAACCTGATTGGCCTACAGGAGAATCCCGGAATTAGCCAATCACGTGGGGCCCATTGTGTAAACAATGTATATAAAGCAGACATTCTGGGGGAACTTCCATTCCTCCTCACCACTATGAGCTGAATAAAGAGCATGAAATCCACTCTCGACTCCGAGTATATTTCAGAGGAGGTGCCTTTTGTTGCAGGGAATGAAAGTGTTTCTGAAGAGCTCTCCCTGCATTTTGACTCAGCCCTAACCAGTGCTATTTTTCTAGAAAAAGAGGTACCAGAACTCTCCGTGTACGCTCACCTGAGAGGTGCTAGAACTGAGTTCTTGTGAGTTCCAGCTGGGGGAAAAGCCCTTGCCCGAACTACTGCTCTGTCTTTATTGAGCTCCTGCTACATGGGAATTTGTGGAAGAAAAGAGAGGAGGATACAGGAGTAGGGTGTGTCTCCCCCCCCCCCGCCATTTCTTATAAACTACAGTATTTTTCGCTCTATAAGACGCACCAGACCACAAGACACACCTAGTTTTTGGAGGAGGAAAACAAGAAAAAAATATATTCTGGATCTCAGAAGCCAGAACAGCAAGAGGGATTGCTGCGCAGTGAAAGCAGCAATCCCTCTTGCTGTTCCTGGCTTCTGTGATAGCTGCGCAGCCTGCATTCGCTCCATAAGACGCACACACAATTCCCCTTACTTTTTAGGAGGGAAAAAGTGAGTCTTATAGAGCAAAAAATACGGTACTTTTGAGGTCATGCTCTGACTTAATCTTGTCCACATGATAAGTTCTTATCTATTCAGCAAAGAATCTTCAAAATCCCAGAACTTTCATCAAGGCTTATCATATTTTGATATTTAAAAAGCTGGTAACAGGGTGGGACTTGGCAGTTGGAACCTGTGACCCAAGGGCAGAGCTGAGTGGTTTTTGACAAGTCCAGAGACAGACTCCAGTCCCAAAGCAATCTATCCACCCAGAGTTTGCATCCTTAAACAAACTGGCTGGGGAAATCAGAACAGACTTGCTCCTTTGCTGTCCTGGTAACCAGATGAAAATATTATTTTAAAAAATAATAATTTAAAAAAGATTGGGCTGGTTGGGTTATTTTATTTTCATTTTTGTTGTTTTGTTTTCCTGGCCAATTAAGCACTTTCTTCTGCATTTTATTTGCTGAGTAGTACTGAGATTTCCTGAGGCTGCTGTTCTGTCCCATAAAGGAAAAAGAGACTGCACTTGTGTCCTGATTAGGGTTGTTATGGAAACAATAACTCTATATTTAATTAAACAATGGATGGGAGAGAAGAGAAGGCACAAAGGAGAAGCAAAGGAAGAACAAAGGAGCACACTTTGCATTTGTCTGCGTCTTGGGTCCTTTTGTCCTGCATTTATCTCCCCTTCCGGAACTATTCAGAACAAAGATGGATACACAGTAAGGTTTCTAGATGTCAGCTCACTCTGCTAACATCCACTGCTCTAACTTTGCCAACACTCTTTGTGATATGTACTGAGTTGAATAGGATCCAAAATGCAGCAGTCTGGGATGTGAGGGCGATCTGGCTGCGACATCTGTCACCCCATTGATCGCCAGGGTTGATTCGGCTGATCTGGCTGGCTAGGCGGGTGTCCCCTTCCTCCCTCACCGCTCCAGGTGCGTCCCTCCCGAAGCTGCGTGCTCGGTGGAAGAGGACGACCATCCCAGATAGAAGGAGTGTACCGTTCTTCGGTCAAGGGTATACGATAGCTGCGCTCCCCTGCTAGAACCTCCAAACAAAATGCAGCAGTCTGATTGGTCCTAGAACAATAGGATTCAGAATGTAGCAGTCTGATTGGTCCTAGAAAAATGCAGCAGTATGACTGGTCTCTAGGAGCCACCCAATCCGGCTCCAGATGGAAGTGAATCCACAACCTGATTGGCCTACAGGAGAATTCCGGAATTAGCCAATCACGTGCAGCCCATTGTGTAAATAATGTATATAAAGCAGATACTTTGAGGGGACTTCATTCCTCCTCACCACTATGAGCTGAATAAAGAGCATGAAATCCACTCTCGACTCTGAGTATATTTCACTTTGTATTCCAAAAGGTGGGGAAGGACTCTGTGATATGGCCGCGCCAGAGGTTGCAGGGGCTCTTGAAGGGACTTAACGGCTGAAACACCACGCCATCATCTTGGCAACGCTCTGGGCCACAAACCCGGAGGGAGCTCAGATAGCTCACCAACTAGCGCGCAAATTTGGAATTTTGAGAAAGTGCTATGGGCGCCAGTCAAAAAATGGCTGCCATGGGGCTGTGGCATAACACAAAATGGCTGCCACATCTAAGAGACCAGGAAAAGGGGTGCACTTAGTGGTGATCTTGCCCGGGTATCGAACATACCAGAGAGGTGCAAGGGGGGAAGCTGCCCCCCAAATCAAGAAAATAAATAAAAACACAGTGGTACCTCGGGTTAAGAACTTAATTCGTTCCGGAGTTCTGTTCTTAACCTGAAACTGTTCTTAACCTGAAGCACCACTTTAGCTAATGGGGCCTCCTGCTGCCGCCACACCGCCGCTGTGCGATTTCTGTTCTCATCCTGAAGCAAAGTTCTTAACCCGAGGTACTATTTCTGGGTTAGCAGAGTCTGTAACCTGAAGCGTATGTAACCTGAGGTACCACTGTAAATAAACTAACTGACCAGTTGCATCACAGATAAAGCCAACAGTTTCAGGTTAAGAACGGACCTCCGGAACGAATTAAGTACTTAACCTGAGGTACCACTGTATGTGTAAATAAACCATATACAGTTGTACCTTGGAAGTCGAACAGCTTAGTTTCCGAACGTTTTGGCTTACGAGCGTCGCAGACCCAGAAGTGACTGTTCCGGTTTGAAAGCTATTTTTGGAAGCGGAATGTCTGACGGGGCTTCCGCAGCTTCTGATTGGCTGCAGATCAGAAGCTGCGCTTTGGTTTCCGAACATTTTGGAAGTCAAATGGACTTTTTGAACGGATTCTGTTCGACTTCCAAGGTACGACTGTATCCTGAAGGTACCACGGTCTCCAACGTGCCTCATTTATTGGAAGAGCAAAGAGGTTGTAGTCAGGACTGGGAAAACAGCCTTAACCTTTTGCCGTCCTGCCTTTGCCCACTGAAAAGCACCCTCCCCAGACTGCTTTTCACCTTCGTGGGGAAAATAAACACACAGGAGAAAAGCTGCTTACGGGAATGGCTTTGAGTGGATGAGCCACAGGAGAAGATAGGGTTAAACACTTTCTCCCAACTTTCAAGGCTGTGTCTCTTTTAAAAAGAAAGAAAAGCAGGAAAATGAAACAGAGAATTCTGTCATGCCCAGTTTGGCCGTGATGGAAAGACCTTGTGATTCTTTTTGCAAGCTGATCACATGCAGCTTGGCCACGGGAGTTGCTTTCTTCTTTGGTCTCAGCTGCTAAGGACTCAGTCGAAAGCTTCCTCACTCTTCTTCTTCTTATCAGAGCTTCACCTGTTTTCCCCAGAGAGGCTTGCCGGCTCAAAGACATCCTTTTGAAAACACTTTTACAGAAACGAAATGAAGTATGATTCTCCATCAGCATAATCAAGAGCCTTTGGAGTGATTGATTAATTAATGCATTAAATTTAAATTAATGTGCATATCGTGCAGAAGTCGCATGATCGTATTTGCAGGCTTTTGCTCACAGATCTGACTATCCTATATGGCTTGGTCACTTTGGGGCTAGATATATTGTCATATGCTCAGTGCAGGACTGTCCCCGATGGTAGCTTTGAAAGTTTTGTCTGGTGCAGAACACTGGAATCCAACTTCCACCATGGGAAATAACAGTGCCTTATCTTACAGGGCTGTTGTGACAATTGTAAGGATAATGTATATGAAGCATCTTAACACCCCCCCCAACATATAGACAAATTATTATTATTCATTTAACGTATCTCCAAAATCTTAAGAGAGGTACTTTTTGGGGGTTACTGTAGTCAAGTGTGAAATTACCACTAACCAAAAACACATGCATGCAAACTACTGCTCATGATAAATAGGAAAGATTGCAGTCAAGATTTTCTTTTTCAATTCCTATTGCAGTGACACACCAGAACCAAAATAGGCTTCACAATAAAGTGTGCCCGTTGCTCTCAGTCTCACTGATCCAAATTTGCCCTTGCTGATGAATTGACTGACACCCCAGACCCAAAGAGGGTCTATGCGCCGGAGCAAGCTTCCTCACCTATAGCCTATGATGAGTACTGGAGTGACACTTTAAGCATTGGATGGTTGCTCTACCAACTGAAGCTGAAGTCAGAAGCCACAAGGTGACACAGAACTTCTTTCTGCTCCCAGCCACTCCACGAGGCTCCTGCCTTTATCTTGACATCTGGGCAAACCCGCATTTACTTTCTCCATTACTGTGCCTGCCTGTGTGCCAGGAATTCCAACCAAAGGTAACTATAGTCATCATAAAAATCATTAGGGTTGTGAACCTTTCCCGAACTCCATTGTGTTAGGCAATTCCAAGCATACAACACGTTCAGATGTTGCCTAAATGAGTTTCAAATTAGGCGAGCAGATTTTATCAGTGTTCTCCTTGGCTCTGGGTGTTTTGTGTGCAGGATTAGTGCCTCATACTTAAATAAATGATTGCACAACGGGGAATACACATGTGCACGAATCGCCTGCTACAAAGAAGCCTTATGCAAAGTTCCCCTGAGATGAAAGAACATTTCTGTATGAATGAATTTGGAGTTTCGCTCATTGCAAATGACTGCAGGTTATAATAATAATGTAAGCTTTTCCTCAGCCCACGTAAGGAAACATATAGGGATTTTCAAACTTGGTCACACTGAGAGAGAGAAATGGAACCGGCGGGGTGGAAAACTACAGCCTTTCCAGCCCAAGTGAATGGAAGCTAAATGCCGGTCAATACTAAAGAAAGTTGTTGACTAGAAGGAGGCACCAGCGAATCAGTAAATCATATAGGGGCATAGAGGGCAGCCTCCACTATCTGTGGATGCTTGGGATGCACAGAAGCCTTTCATTCTTTAATTTATTTCTCATAGTACATCAGCTGTTCTTTTTCAAAACATACAAATTAGGAGTTACCACCCGACAGGGCCGGCCCTAGGATGAGGCAAAATGAAGCAGCTGCCTCAGATGGCAGGTGCTGAGGTGCAGGGAGGGGACAGAGCTGTAAGTGCCACGTGGCCTGTTCTGTACCCTACCGCGCTCAATTGCAATAAGATTCAACTACCAGTTAAATTAGCGACGCGGGTGGCGCTGTGGGTTATACCACAGGGCCTAGGATTTGCCAATCAGAAGGTGGGCGGTTCAAATCCCCGCGACAGGGTGAGCTCCTGCTGCTCAGTCCCTGCTCCTGCCAACCTAGCAGTTCAAAAGCACGTCAAAGTGCAAGTAGATAAATAGGTACCGCTCCGGCGGGAAGGTAAATGGCATTTCCGTGCGCTGCTCTGGTTCGCCAGAAGCGGCTTAGTCATGCTGGCCACATGACCCGGAAGCTGTGCGCCGGCTCCCTCAGTCAATAAAGCTAGATGAGTGCCGCAACCCCAGAGTCAGTCACGAATGGACCTAATGGTCAGGGGACCCTTTACCTTTACCAGTTAAACTGGCTTCTGTATGTGCTGTAGGAGAGGGCGCCATCGTGTCCTTCGCAATAGGCAGCAAAATGTATTGAGTTTGCCCTGTCAGCTGAGAGTCTACATAATTGGAACTTGCTAGGTCAGGCCAATGGCCTGTCTAGTCTAGCATAGCATCCAGCTCTTATACTGGCCAACCAGATGCCGATGGGAAGCCCCCAAGCAGGACTGAGCCCAACAGTACTCTCCCCTCCTGCAGTTTCCAGCAATTGGTATCCTGAAGTCCACTGACTCCATCTGCATTGCTCAAAATAGCACCTCCGCAGAGGGAATAACTTCTTGACAAATAAAGCCTTCACAAGTTGAAATTGATTCTGAAGTGCTCCTTTGGCTGGGGGGAGATCTGTCTATCTCGAGAGACAATGGAGTGCACCTCCGGGGGTGAATTCAGACACGGAAGTGTCCTGAGCTGCCCAGATGACAAGACCCCACTCTCGGCCTCGCTGATGTGGTCCAAAGGAAAGCAGAGCAATACGTTCGGCAGCAACTTGGCTGCAGAAGAAGGCGTACAAGGCACCATCCAACCATCTTAGGGACTCCACTCTGGATTTGTGTAGGCTTTACTCCAGGGGTAGGCAACCTAAGCCCCGTGGGCCGGATGCAGCCCAATCGCCTACTAAATCCAGCCTGTGGACGGTCCAGGAATCAGCGTGTTTTTACATGAGTAGATGTGTTCTTTTATTTAAAATGCATCTCTGGGTTATTTGTGGGGCATAGGAAATCATTCATATGTTTTTTCAAAATATAGTCCGGCCCACCACATGGTCTGAGGGACGATGGACCGGCCCATGGCTGAAAAAGGTTGCTGACCCCTGCTTTACTCCTTAGCGTTTTCTTCTCCTGAAGATATCCTGCAAGGCAGTGGAGGTTTGGATCAGAGTTTTCCTTCTCCTAGGTGGGCTACCTTCCCACTGCTCCTCACTTCCCTCTATAGCACATGCAGGAACCACCTTCTTGACTGTTGGACCCACTTTCAATCTCATCCACTCAGCCCTCCAGAGCCTGTCTTGCATGCAGGGGAAGCCCCTAACTCACAGAGTGTTTGAGACCCATTGGTTATCCTCACCTGGTTTAGCCGGCCAGTCGAAGCCGTTTCCTGGGAGTGTGATTGCTGTTGGATGCTGACAGCTTCTATGAGCCACAGGTAAGAGCTGAGTGTGGGGTGGGGACTTAAAGTGGACATACTACCCCAGAGGT